TGGGGACCCGCTGGAGTGCGTCACAAGCAGCAGGGAGCTGTCTGAAGATTTAGGCCGAAACCCATTTTGACAGCTCTCATGTGCTGCCAAATACTGTCACGATCCGAGCGTCCGTGGGGACCTGAAGCATGACAACATCCTCCAGCACGAAGGCACGAGTGTCACAACTCCCCAGCTTTGCTCCTCCCAAGGGACACCGGGGGAGGAGGCTGTTCTCAGCCTGGCTTCCTGCAGTCCAGCCGCACATGCCGACCCCAAACTAATGCAGGACATTCCTTATCCACCCCAAGCCCACGACACCCAGGGCCTGGGCATTACACCGTATGTGATAACGTATAAACGAATACCCTACGATGCCTCCACCATGAGAGCAGGGCACAGGCTGCTTTGCTTGCCCCTGGCTTTTGTCCCAAGAAAAGGCAGACCTCGTTTCCCCACGTCACAGCGCACCACCAGCTCTGAACAGGGGCAGGTCCGGAGCACGCACGTGTGCCAGGCGAGCGCCGCAACCCGCACGGCGCCCTTGAGCAAACAGGCAATAAATGGCCCAGCCACACAGCGGCACAAAGGTGAAGGGTAAGAGGCACCCATTTCCCCAGGCTGTGCTGTGCCCAGCGCTGTAACGCTGGCAGAGGCCGACGTTATGGGATTGACAACGCCTCGGCCGAGCCGCAGGCAGGTGCGAGGCAGAGCTGCCCTGTGCGGCTGCACCAGTCCCAGGCACCGTGGGCTGCACTGGGAGAAGCTGGGGGCTGCACTGGGAGAAGCCGGGGGCAGCCCGATGCCCTGGGCAGGAGGGGTGAGGACAGCACACGCTAGCGAAAACACGCCAACACCTCTGCCCAGGGCGTGTGGGAGCTGGCACGTCCCAGGCACTCCCAGTTTGCTACTGGGAACGAGCGTTTCTCTAACCAGCAAGTGCAGATCACCAGTGCCCAAAAAGCAGCGGAGAAAAGATGCCGTGTCCCTGAGGAGCAGAGGGAAGGGGCTCACAGGGAGGGCAGCCCGACCCGGCTCTCGCCCTGGCTGGGGTTTGCAGCCGGCTGCTGCGGGGCCAGCAGCAGCAAGGTGGGATTGAGGCAACAAATGCAAAGATGAGGAAGCAGGAATTGCTCCGTCTCCCACTCCCCTGAGCGAGCAGATCCATTTCCTTAATTTTTGTAGAGAAATAGCCCCATCCTCCCAAACAACAAAGTATCTCTAACCACAGCTTCACTTCCGAGCTAAGTAATCGGAGAAGTAGAAAGCAGCGCAGAGCCTGGAACCTGCCGTCGGGGGGGTGCACAGCTGCGGCCCCTGCACCGTGGCAGGGGTGGCTGCCTGCGCCCCAGGGAAACGCTCCTGGCCCTGAGGGTGAAGCGCAGAGGGAACCAGCCTGGGGCTCGGTGCCTTTGGGAAGTCCCGTTGCAGACCCAGCTCCCTGCCACAAGACAGCTCACGTAGGCCACAGGGGATCACCAAAACTAAGCTGGAGTACAGCCTCCTGCCTGCTCCGGGCTGGCTGTTTGCTCAAAGCGTGGCATGGGGTGACTGAGTCTCTCTTCTCACCTCAACTCACCAAACCCTGCGCTGCTGCTTGTCTGCTGCTCAGCATTTTCTTCCCTGTGCCCCACAAAGAAAAGAGCAGCAGTCACCTCTGGTGTGATCAGTGTTTTGCTTCTTTAAGGCATCTGAGCCTGCCTTCTCCATGTGGGTTATGGCAACCCACCCCTTGTCCTCACTGGCTCTTCACTAACGGTTCTTGCAACTTTCTCTCGAAGAATTACATTCTGCTGTTCTCCAAATCGACCACAATCCCCCCTCTTTCCCATCCCCTTCTAAGAACAAGAATCCCTTGTGGTCCCTCAGCTTCTTTCCTGCACGGAGCAAGGAACCAAGCCCCAGATTGCTCAGGCAAGCACCCACAGACTCCGCACGTGCTGATGTTACAGCCCCCCGTCACACCACACGGCCCCAGGTCCATTGGGGCTCCCACAGTTTCTTGCCACCAGCCGGTAACCCACCGCAGCCAGCCCTGCCGCTGCTGCTGCTCACCACAAACCACCCCTGCGGTGTTAGGAGAGCTCCAGGTGCTATTTTGGCTGAGGGAGAAAGTGTGTTGGGCCTTGCACATAGGAAAATGCAGATATACAGGAACAGCAAAAGGAAGATAACTCTCTGAAAAATGGGAGGGGGGGAGGAACCCACAAGTCATCAAGAACCAAGATGGTTTTTCACACTGGATTTGGCCCTGTAAGGCACACTACCTGCTAGTGCTACAGCAGCAAAAATATCTGGCGACAAAAGAGTTTACTGATTCTGTAATTACAGATAGCAGGGGCTGAACTGCAGCAGGAAGCAGAGACCAGACTTTACAGCAGGCATTACAAGAATAGCCCATCTGAAGAGCACTACATCCCCTTCAAGAGATCCAGTTTTATAGCATTTCATTGAAAATAAATTACATTTCCAGCAAACATGTGAAGGCCCTTTAGTCTGGCAGAATTGAGACTGTGATTTTAGTAGGGCTGTCTAGGTTACTTCATTTGAGGGCAAACACAAAACCAACACCGTCCCACAGGACATTTAATGCAATCTGCTTTTAAGCATGAATTGCACAACATGGAACTAATCATTCTCAGATATCATATTCCCCTCTCTGTTATTCAGCTACATCTTGGTATGAGCACAACCAGTTTGAAATGCTATGGAAGACACATACCCCATCCCGCTTCTGACCCCCGTGTACACCCCATCCACGGTCCCTCAAACACTGCCCAGCCTTTACATGCATCCCATGCCCAGAAGAGAGCTCCCACACCCAGCAAATGGGTAGGAATCATCTAACAAGAAGATGGAGATCAGGCACCATGCTTGAGATACGCACGCTGATGACAGCCTGTTTCCATGCATCCAGCCCATATCCCAACTTCTCTCCATGTTCCCATGCTTGTTCTTCTCTCACCCTTGTCTCCTCCCCAAAATAACTGTCCTCTAATTTTCCTGTTGGGCCCAGCCTTGCTACATCTGTAGCCAAATTTGGTGTTTCTGACACCTCTCACTGGTCACCTCCACCTCACCAGGTGGTCCCCGTGCTCCTCCTCAATCATCTGTGAAGCTCAGCCATTTCCCCAGGTGCTCTCTGTTGCGCTCCAGCACTACCTGTACCAGTACCTGTTACCTGCTGCATCCAGCCATCTCTCATGTCACATCTGCTCCTCCCTCCTGGTCCGTTCAGTGACCCAAACTACGGGCCAGGGCCTGACCATCTGCCTGCATACCCTAACAGAGAGGTCCTACATTTCATGGCAATAAGCAGATCGTGTGATCATTAAGAAATAAATAATTAGTTTTTAAAATTACCTAAAAACTTCATTGTTATTTAGTCAGTTCAGTCCTTAAAGAACATCTCTGAAACATGGAAACATTAGTAAATGGATTCCCTTCACATTCATTCATGAGTACCTGAGAATAATTTTTTTCTTGAAGAAAAAACTGAGCCGTCAATTATTTCTGAACCCCCCCCCCCCCCGAAAATCACTATTTCTTGCAGTCACGATTCCTAGCAATGCCATGTTGATCAATTGATTTTTACAAGGTGCACTATAAAAATCGAGTCGCTTGGAAGGGTTTTTCAGTCAGAGACAGGAATTTTGGAAGTGGCAGTGGAAACCGCACCGGAGGAAGCTCTCCACCAAGCCAAACAGAGCATCAAACACCCTGGACCTTACAGAAGGCTGCAGGCACTGCTCAAAGAGCTGCATAAGATTTTCCATAGATGTTCCCTCAGTAAAACATCACCTGATTATAGTAAATGTCAAGACAGCCAAGTGTTACACAAGCTGTCTCATACTCAGGCGTGGTGCAAAAGTGTACACATCTGGCTACGCCTGCTTCCTGCTGAAAGGTGCTCGGTGCTTCTCCAGGCTGGATCACACCATACACGTGCTCATCCCACACTCAAAGGTCAGCTCACACTGGAGCACACACAGCCCTGAGTGCAGGCCATGTATGGTTAAAACTGCTCTTCCTTTTTTTGGCTAATTATAAAAATCAGCCGAAAGTTTCAAAGAATGGGAGGGAAAAAACCAAAAAAAGCCCCAGTGTGGCTGTCAGAAGTACCGCTTCTGTTCTTCAGAATATTGTCATCCATGCTGGTGGACGAACCAGTCAGTCCCTAGCCCCTGTGTTGTGATCATCAACATCCTCAAGTCTTTGGAGTCATACACATAGCAGCTGTAAAAACAAATTTGAAAAAGCTGAAATCGATGCAAAGCAAAAAGCCCCAGAGACCGATTACAGCGAAGCAATCAACATGCAAAACAGTAATCCTCAGAGCCCTTCTGAGGAAGGTGTTGGTGTGAGCCTTTCTCAAGAACACCAGAAGCTGGAAGTCAGAACTCCCCCACCAAGTAAGGGTTTAAGAAAAAGCCAGCTGCAAAGCCCACAAAAGCAGCCAATTATCAGAGCTACAAAATGGAGGGGCTGGATGAACAATGAGGAAATGAACTTACGAGAAGCCACCTCCTTCCCATAACAAGCCCACAAGGGGAAAAAAAAATAAAAAACCCAAACCAGTTCTTGAACACAGCCCCAGTGAAGACAAGAAAAGCAGCATCCCATCCCTTTTGAGGAAAGCTGGCCAACAAGGAGCAAGCCCAGCAAGCCCAGGCGGGGCTTGAAAGATCTTCTGAGACATATAAAAAGACAAGACGAAATTTCACCTGGCTAATGTGAATATAAGATGACTTAGGTACAAGGTACATTTTAGGAAAGAAAAAGAAAAACATTTAAGCTACTTGCATCCTGTTAGCGAAACTAAATATAAAGATCCTTTTATGAAGAAGGCCGAGCACAACTGATGTCTCTCAGCAACCTGATGTTAAGTTTTGCCCTGCACGACGTTATCCAGTAGCTTTATAAATGGACTGGAAGGTCCTTCCAAGTGCCCTGCGCAGGGGCGGCTGCCTGTGACATCACACAGCGGCCAGCACTGGGGTGCCGGCCAGTGCCCCGGGGCAGCCTCTGTGGTGTGTGGGCCCACCACCTGCCACCACGCATGATGCACACCAGCACCAACTCATGCAGCTCCCCCCAGCTCTCCCACCATGGATGATGCTGTGGTGCTTGGAAAGAAAGGCTATAGCCTGAGCAACACGCTAGGAGAAGGCTCTTACGGCAAAGTGAAATCTGCCTACTGCAACTGGCTGAAATGCAACGTGGCCATCAAGATAATCGACAAGAGGAAAACTCCTCGGGACTTCCTGGAAAGATTTCTCCCCAGGGAAATAGAGGCTTTGAGACATTTGCGCCACCCCTCAATCATCAAAACCTATGAGATTTTTGAGACATCAGCTGGGAAAGTGTACATTGTGATGGAGCTGGGGGCAAAGGGAGACCTCCTGGACTACATCAAGATCACAGGAGCTATGGAAGAGGACGTCGCTCGCATCAAGTTTCAGCAGTTGGCTTCTGCCATCAAGTATTGCCACGACTCAGACTTCGCTCATAGGGACCTGAAATGTGAGAACATCCTTCTCGATGAAGGCCTCAACATCAAGCTGTCAGACTTTGGCTTTTCCAAACCCTTGTCTCGGGATGAAAATGGAAGAACTATTCTCAGCAAAACCTTCTGCGGGTCTGCTGCGTACGCAGCCCCTGAAGTGCTACAGGGCATTCCTTGTGACCCCAGGATTTCTGACATATGGAGCCTGGGCGTCATCCTGTATACAATGGTCTACGCTTTAATGCCATTTGATGATTCCAATGTCAGGAAAATGATCTGCATTCAGAAACAACACAGGATTCCCTTCCCCAACTCAAAACACCTGACTGCAGAGTGCAAGGACCTCATTTACCATTTGCTCCAGCCTAGTGTGTCTCAGAGGTTGCACATAGATGAAGTTTTGAAACACTCATGGTTGCAGACTCCAAAATCCACAATCCCTTCCCCTCCGCCAGCTGCAGAAGAGGGTGAGTGTTCCCAAAACCTGTGTGAAGGAAAGCCTGAGCACAAGCAGGAAGCCAAATCCCATTCTGCAGAAGGGGAAGGAGAGGAGAAGGAAATGAGATCCTCTTAAGGATGGCTGGTTTTAACAATATCACAAAGTTGGTCTAACTTGTGAACTGCTGGTTCTCAACTTCAGCTTCTCTGGACCCTTTCGGCAATAGTCCTCATCTTTTGCTTTACAAAGTATAGCAACAGAAGACACAGTACATCTGCTGAGGTGAATGAACAGCTTAACACTATTATTCTCAAAAGACCCGTCTCTGATATGGTTTGCGGGTATGAGAAGATACTGTCAAAACACATTGGAAAGTTTCTTTCAGTGCTGCTGACACTTAACAGCTTTTACACTCACATTTCTCAAGTTCCTGACTACATCGGCTATAGAATTCACACGTGCATCAACCACATTTTGGATTCAGTAAGTAAGAGGGCAGGTTATTAGGAAGCGTGAACTGATGTCTGAAACTGTATGCATACTGTTTTCATAACGTACCAACTCTGACAGGCCCACTGTACATTCCATCAGTTTAAACTCCACTTAAATTAAAGAGAAGCACTCTAAAATTCTGGGTCATGTCTGAATACATACATGGTTGTGTCCCCTCTTCTGCAAAGTACAAAATCAAAGTTTGACAAGCTGGAAGAAAGTCCAGTTCAACCTTTTAGGAAGGCCTAGCACATTTTATAAATAGACGTATCTGTACAGAAACATATTTAAATGCATGGCCATCTTAAAAAGAGAAATATATCTTTAGAAAATTATCACCATTTTCCAAGAGTCCAGAATCTTCTCTGCCATTGCAGGAAGTATCCTTTTGCTACAACAGCCCTGTGCATCCCACCCATGCAGTTCAAAGTGAAGTTATACCACAACAGGAGATACTCTGCTTCCAAAAAGCACATCACAGTCTATTATAGCTATGTAGTTTTAAAGTAGCACTGGTCCCAGATCTTGTAACCCGCTGGCTTCCATTCTGGCAGCTGTATCTAGACACCCCTTACTACCAATGGCTCACAACATCCAGTTTGCAGACAGCTGAGCACAGCCAGCTCACTATCACCTTGCTGGTGACCAGAATACTCAGAAGAAATCAGATGCCTTCCTTCTTTTAGGAAGCTGCAGTAAATTGTCTGTGATTGATGTAGTATCCTGAGATACCGGTGTCTGAGATACTGTCCTAGACTGTGGGGTGCTTGTGGGTGTATGAGGCCCACTTGCTGGGGTCTTGTAACCAGGAGTTCCTGTGTGGGCTGGGGAAGGAGTATAGCTGGCCCGCAGGGCTTTGTCGGTATATTTACTTGCAGTCCTGTTTACTAGTCTTTGCAAAGCTGGTGACATTGCTGGGCTTAGTCCTTTTGGAGTGAGGCTGGAATAGAATAAAAAACAGTTTTAAAAGATTTTACAGTAAAAATCTGCCATTTATCAGTAAGAACATCAATGCTTCCACAGGCGAGCTCTGTGTCCAGTCCCCCCACAGAACAGACCCACAGGCTGCAGAATTCTGCCTGCAGGTAAATGCAGCCTGTCTCTCTAGAGAGACAAGTGCAGAGAAACCTCCTACATCCCTCCCAAACCTGAGTGGCCCTGCCTGTCTTTTCCTTTGAGCCCGTTCCATCCTTCCCATGACCCAGCCAAGCAAGCCTTATCATGTCTTCTCTTTGCAATGAGGCAAGACACCAATCCAGATGCATGGCAGGGTCACTGAAGGGCAGAACAGTAATGTTGATAATAGGGAGTATCAGGGACTGCCACCAGCCACCTTTCCTCAGGAATTAATTTTTTTAATTTCTAAAAACATTTAGTTTGACTGTATCTCTTCCTGCTTCCAGTACTCATATAATTCCTCCCTTTCTACATATGTTGATGCAAGTCTCATCAGAAAATACACATCCCCAGTTCTGCTGTCAGAACAGAAGCCTCACCTGGCCAAGTTTTCCGTCACTTTTCGAAGTGCCTCCTGCTTCTTTGCTCGGTTTTTAGCTGCCACTTCATTGGCCATCTTGAGTCCTAACCTCTCACGGCGCCCAGGCTCCAGGATCTATAAATGCATCACACGGTTCACTCACCAATGCGCTCATACGAGTGCTGCATAAATGAGTCAAAGCACCTTTACAGTTGGATTCCAGCCTACAGGGATCTAAACCAGGGAGAAGTGGGGTCAGCCCACACCTCTCTGCTGCTATATAAAAGCCAGGGAGAACAGAGGGAGACCTTCAACCTGCCTTAGCAAGAAACAAAAATGGTAAAACCAGTTCAGTCAAGGAAGCAGCCATTACCTCTGGCATTTCCTCCTGCTGTCTCTCCTAGACAAACAACGTCACCTGTGTCTTGCCTAGCCTGGCCTGTAGCCAGCCAGCTCTCAGGCAAACACAGACATTGCTAAACAGCAGGAGAATCAGTCAAGGGCTTCGGAGTCCGACAAAACAGATGCACATATAGCATATTACACCTTTCTTAAACTAAGAGTCTCAGACAGCTCACATTCAATGACACCAGCAGGAGACAGGTGGCATGCAGGGTCAGGTGCCATTAGCAAAGCCAGCGCGCCTTTTCTGCTCTCAAGTGATATACCTGCCTCAGGCTGTGACAGCCAGAAGATCAAGACAGAGGGAAATCCTACAACTTCTACCCATTCATACATTAAAATCAGAGAAATCAGGTGCCTCTTGAGCTTCCTCTGAAAGCCTCTCTGTCTGGGCCCATAATCAAATATCGAGTCTCACTCTCCTGCCAACAGTGTGTGTTCCACCTCAGGTATCTCCACCAAGTAGCTTTCATGTGGAGCTATGTCCACCTCCACCCTCCAATCAGAACCTAGATTATTAGTCTCAAGGACTGGGAAAACAGCCCAGAGATGCATCACACTCCCACAACAATGTTAATCTATTAGTTACTCACTTGCCTTTCCCTTCTTAGTCCTTCCCCCCCAAAAGAATGACGTGCTGACTCCTGACATGAAATACCTTGAAGGCTGGTCCAGGTGTTCTGTCCACATATGGCGTTTCTGACCCTTCTAGACGCAAAGGGGTGCTTTCGATTTCACCCCATGTCATAAAAGGAGACTCATTCACACCTAAAAACAAATTTAAAAAGTCATGCTCATGCAAAACATTTGACTATTCATTCACCGCAAAAAATCCAGAGAAGCAAATTATGAAATGCAGTAAACTCATCAACACACGAAGGAGCCCCTCCACTGCAGAGGAAGTCACAGCCAATGTTGAATAGTAACATGTGGTTCCCATTAAAAGGGCATGACCTTAAACTCGCAGGATTGGCTGTGGCTGTGTCACCCTCTAGGTTACAACACCCAAGCACTATCCTTTCCATATACATATTTTTTCCATTTGGTCAGTTTTTGCTTAGTGACACTTTCATTTTTTTCCTCTACGGTACTAGTCTTCCCCTCTGCTATTGTATGAAAATTCCTTCAATACAGGGAACTATTTAAAAGCAGGGAAACGGGCAGAGGAGTTAAGATACATGTAATGGCCTAATGTAACCTCAATTCATCTTGAGGCTAGCCTGTACCAAACAGTGACTGCACCTTGTCTAACAGCTACAACTGCAGAATAGATTTGAAGAGCCCAATTAAGTCACTGGCTAGAAAATCTTGCTGTCCAGGGTTTGGAAAAGGCATTTACAATGGAGAAACGAGGTGCAATCCAAATGCCACCTACAGGCTTTCCAGAGGAAAAGCCTCAGTATGTTCACCTTTTAGCACAATAACAAAAGACAGGGAAACATAATGGCTGGTGAAGAACAGCTAAAAATTCAGATACCACATTTCAACTGCAACAAAAATAATCAGTTTGTTCGAACCGAAAGTATCCTGTCGCTAATACATCTAAACAAAAGGAATCCATAATACACAAGCATATTCAAAGGAAGAACCTAGAAAGCAGCAGACCTGGAGGAAAACAGTAGGTTACTGTGAAGGAAGCAAGATATACCACATCCCTATGAGCCAGGCTGAACCATCACTCAGCAAACTACTGGACACACTGACGCGAATGCTCCTTGTTTTGCAAAAAGAGCACCTGAACTCGTTGGAAGGTTAATGTTTGTGAAATGTTTGAATTATTATCTTTAAGCTCTAGAGAAGCATCACCCAGGAATAAAACAAGCAGTCACAGCACACCAGTTGCCTAGGAAGGCTCACCGCCCTCTTGATGATTCCTAAGCAATGGCACAGGAGCTTGCTCAGAGCCTCTCGGACACCGCACGACTTCTCTTGCCAGAGTATTTGACTAGGATTTAAGTACTGCATTGAGCAGGCATACACAGTACACAAGCAAGTCACCAGCTCATGAGACATACACAGATAGAAGGCTTACCTCCTTGTCTAAACCAACAGTGATACCTCAGGGTTGAACAAACAGAGCAACAAAATAAGTGCAGTAGCAGTCCTCTCACAACAGAAAAAATAAGAAAACCCTCTTACCAGGGGCAGGAGATGGGGTAGCCACAAATCCATATCCATTCACTTTTGGAGACTCTTGGGGTATCAGTTCTTTCCCATCTGGTCCCACTTTGCCCTGTTTGTACTGAAGTAAAAAAAGACAATGCCATTCATGTGGAAAAAGGTGTGAGTCAGCTGTATCTAGCACACACACAATTCTGGTTAATGAACAACACCAGAGGGCAGAGTCTAACAAAATTTTAGTCAGAAGTAGTAAAATTATCCAACCTGAGCATTGAGGGCTGCAGCTTGTTGGAGCTGTGATTTGCTCACGGCTTGGCTAAAAGGGTCCTTCACGAAACGGGTGTTTCGATGGACAACTTCCCTGGGCTTCTTAAATACATCATCCTCATCAGGTACACCTTGAAAAGCAAAATGTCTTTTAAGAAAGGGCTCAGGTAACACTAGGCAGCGTGCTGTAAAGCTCCCAACCAACGTGACACTTGCCACACATTCCTACACAACACAGAATCCATCAGCAATTGCAGTGTGTATCGTGTATCTCTAGCAATTTAAAACAAAATTTGCACTAGATATATGCTTTGTAACACCTGAAGTCTATAAATTACAGATCAGATTTTTTTTTTTTTTTTTTTTCTTTTTTTTTTTTTTTTTAAGAAAACCATTAACAAGACTTTCTTTTCTCTACTTTACTGGTTTGCAGAAATTGCCAAGTGTACCTTTATAGCCAAAAAAGAAGCTGGCTGTGTCATTTATAGCTGTGTCTACAAAATTATGTAGTTTTCTGTAGCAACCAAGGGACCAACAAGCCCAAGGAGCACTCTTTGAGCAGAAGCAATGAATGAATAAAGATGACAAGAAAGTGCTCACAAATAAGATAGACCAAACTGGAAAGACCTTCTGGCTCCTGAAAACAAGTGCTTCTATAATACAGATAATGAGGTTCTCAACAACAAATAGAAGATGATCAAACTTTGCAATCAGAAGCAAAGGAGCAAGGTCCAAAGAAAGAAAAGGAAAGGAAAAAAAAAAGGAAAATAAGACTTTTTTAAACAACTTTGCATATCTTGAGCTTCACAGAAGGAAAAGTGCAGTATTACCAG